TGGCACCTGTTCTGCAGATTCTGCGCTGGCTAACAGGTTTCCAAATACAAATCAAAATACTGGTTTTAACCTATAAAGTCCTATATGGCTTGGCATCTAGCTACTTTCTGGACCACCTCCTTCAAGTAAGTTGGTCCATCCTGTATAGTTGGCACTGGAGAGGACACTTTAGATTCCCCAGACTGAGAGAGATGTGGAGTGGGAGTCTCACTGGATGCCTTGTCCTTAGACTCCTCCCGAAGATCTGGACTGCTCTTACTCTGTTGTCCTTCAGGAAGGTAGCAGAGATCCTGATATTTCATGGGGCTTTGGGTGGCTAAATTACTTGCTTTTTGTCATCCTTATGGTGTGGGAGATATTTTTTCTTTTGGTTTTCTTTTTGTCTGATTTTAATTTTAATTGTTTTATAGAATTGTTTTGATAGTTTTTAGGTGTATAATTTTTTTCTTTTGTTGTATGTTTTTTATTGTGAACCATCTAGAATCATTGGAATATGGAGGCTAATAAATATTAAGACAGATAAATAGATAGTAATATAATCTCTTAGCAGCCAGATCTGTACCTTACCTGTGACTTAACATAGGACAATTGACTTGACAATGTAGGGTTAATCCATTGTTTGACTTTTGATGCTGATCTGGGAATCTGCCAATGCATCTTTCAATAAACTTCGTTTCTTTACAAGTGCTATAAAAATCCATTCTTGATTTCTGGTTTTCTGAATAACTGGCATAGTTTCTTACATCATTGTATTTTTATATTTTCAATCTCAAGTTCTTTTCCAAATAGTCAAGGTTAACATATCTTGTGTAGCATTTTTATAGTTTAAAAAATTCTAACTTTTTTTCAGCCTTGAGTACCATAAATCTTATTAATCAGCCTCTGCCTACAAGGAAGCTTGCACAACTGTGGCTCAGAGTTAAGATTCTCCTTATGCATATTGAAAGAAATGCTGCTTTTTGCAATAATATTTAAAAAGAAATTATGAAACAGGCAGTTGTTTATTTTAATTAGTAGCTATACCCAGCAAGTACAAATATTCTCAGTTCATTCACCCATCTAGCACTCCTGTCACATAATATATAGTTATTCTGTTTCTACAAATAAGGGGCACAAATAATAATAATAAAAAAACCCTTTGGTTTTATTAATTAGGCATGTTGAAAACCTTAATAAAAGTGTATTCTACAGAGTGCAACTGAGCTCAGTATGAGTATATATAGTCAGGGTAGGCAATAGATGGTTCCAATCTTACAAGGCCTTCAAAAGTCCCCTGGAAGCAAACGTCTGTCAAGAAAGTGACCTGACCTTCTGACACCTCTATGAGCATGGAGGAAGAAGAAGAAGAAGAGAAAGAGAGACATAGGTGTAAAGCTAATCTGAGCTGAGACAGTAATAGTTTGGAATAAATATTTATAGGCTGATAATCTTGCTCAGCAAGAATGGATTACACTAGAGGTTTCTGTTTGCTTCCAGTTCTGTGATTTTAAGATGAGAGATGAGAAGTAAGCCCAAATAACTTTTTTTACTGCACAGGTTTGCAACTATGTCTGGAGGAAAAGGGAATTGTATCATAGCCACACCACCTGCAAGCTGGAATATTGGATAGACAGGCCACCTGACCAAGGTGTAGTGTGTTACCATCAGTGTTGTGACCTATTTGGATATTTGGCCAAATAACTAAGTTGTGCACCACTACATGGTAGCATCCATGGGCTTGACAAGATTGGACACACAGACCTCTTTTGAAACAGCTCATTTCTCTTGGAGTCTTGCACACATAGTATAGTTACTTAATGTAACAAAGAAAAACTGCCTTTATATGATACCAAGCTATACAATGGTGTTCAGGTGTTGGCCCAGTATCTGGAGGCTGTGACGATCTGGATGGGGCAGAATTAGCTCTGATTCAACCCTAGCAATATGGAGAAGCTCTGGGGTTTTGGTCCATGAGGTGTCATCTTTGACTCTAGCACTCCCCTGGACAGAGCTGGTACCAATTTGGGGTCCTCCTCAAGAAGCAGGTGGCAGCTGTGGGCAGGGAGGGCTTTGCACAGATTCATCTTGCATGCCAGTTGCACCCATTCCTGGATTGGGAGTACTTGCTCCCAGCCAGTCATGTCCTGGTCACTTCCGGCTGGATTACTGCAACACACTATACATGGGCTGCCCTTGAAGACCATCTGAAAGTTACAACTGGTCCAGAATGCAGCAGTGCACAGAGCTCTGCATGGTCCATGGTTTGCCCCTATTGCACTGCTGCTGCACAAGCTGTACTGGCTTCCACTTTCTTTCCAGGTGCAATTCAAGATGCTGGTTATTACTTTTAAAGCCCTTAATGGCACAGCACCAGATTATTTGGGGGACTGCCTTTCCCTGTGGATGTCTGCTGATGCCACCAGGTCAGATAGGGTGGGCGTGCTTCAAGTCTTAAATGTTGCCATCTGGTGAGACCCAGGGAACACACCTTCTCTGTAGCAGCCCTTGCCCTTTCCTCCTGCAGGTACCTTCCCTTCTCATCTTTTGGAAGGCTGTGAAGAGCTGGCTCTTCCTCCAAGCACTGGAGAGGGTGAGGCTGAAGTCCAGTGAAAATGAATGGGGATGTATGGGGCAGTGTTTGCTTTTGGGGTGCTGGAAGTTTTTGTTACAGTTTTATTTTTTATTTGATGTTGTTATTCTTGTTTTGTGAGCTGCCAAGGATTATAACACATAAGATGGGTGGCTGCATCAGTCAAATAAGTAAATAAACAAACAAATGTCTGAACTGTGTCTAAGGATAGTTTATCTGTGATAGTGAACTGATTATCCATGCATGTGGCCTCTGCACATCATGCCAAGCATGCAGTCAGCAAAGAACATGATCTGCAAATGTGTCAGGCCTAGCCCAAGGAACTCCAAGAGACAATGCCAATTCAGTCCAGCTATGT